GGACCTGGGTTCAATCCCTAGCACTGGGGGGGATCAATTTACAGTTTACAAGAAATATAGGCAAAGAAGGATGCAAATGATGCCACCAGGAAACAAAGACAAATGTAGAACATGGGACAGTCTAGAAGCACAACTGATCTACAAGCATGTGGCTTACCACAGGAAGGTCTCTGTGCAGGTGACAGCAGCATACACTTCTAACAAAACTTTTGAATTCTACCCTTCAAGTCTGCTTTATGCACATTTTATTTCAGTTAAGAAACAAAGGAGCTGGAGATAGGTCAGTCATTAAGAGCATCTGTTGTTCTTGAAGGACCCAGGTTCAGTTCCCAGTACCCACATGAGGTAGCTTAAAACCTGTAATTCCAGTTCCAGGGGATCCAATGTCCTTCTGGCCTCCATGGGCACTGCATACATGTGGTACAAATACATATACTCAGACACATACACACACATAAAATAAAGCAAAAAGATCTTAAAAAGCAAAACAAAACAGGGGCTGGAGAGATGGCTCAGCGTTTAAGAACACTGTTCTTGCAGAAGACCGGGTTCGGATCTCAGTGCCCACATAGCAGCTAACAGCTGTCTGTAACTCCAGTCCTAGGGGATCCAACAGCCTCTTCTGTTCTCCGTGAGCATTCATTGCATGACATGGGTGCGCTTACCTACATGCAGGTCATACATGCATACACATAAAATAAAAATAGTAAATAAAGGCTGGGCGTGGTGGCGCACGCCTTTAATCCCAGCACTTGGGAGGCAGAGGCAGGCAGATCTTTGTGAGTTCAAGGGGAGTCAGGGGCTCCTGACCATGATCTGTGGGAGTCAGGGGCTCATGGGAAAGCTGGGCAGGGACCGTCTCCCAGCCGGTGACCGGAAAAAAAAAGTAAATAAAATATTAAAAAAACAAACAAACAAACAAACAAAAACAGTGCCCTACATCAGGAACCTCAGTAAGTAGCTGTATTCAGCTACTCAGGAAATTGAGGTAAAGGATTGCTTAAACCCAGGAGTTCAAGATCCTGTCTCAAAAAAAGAATTCCAGGGGCTGGAGAGATGGCTCAGTGGTTAAGAGCACTGACTATTCTTACAGAGGACTTGGGTTCAATTCACAACACCCACATGGTGGCTAACAACCATTTATAATTCCAGTTTCAGAAGAATTCAACACTGTCTTCTGACCTCTGTGGGCACTGCACAAGTGGACTTACATACATGCAGACTCATACACATAAATAAATAATAAATAAAATATTTAAGAAAAAAAAAACAATCCCAGGTCAGGTGTGGGCACACCATTTTAATCCCAGCACTTGGGAGGTAGAGGCAGGCAAATCTGTGAGATTGAGGCCAACCTGGTCTACATAGTGAGTTCCAGGCCAGCCTGGTCTACATAGCAAGTTCTAGGCTAGCCAGGGCTACATAGTGAGACCCCGGCTCAAACAAATAAACAAACAGTGACTGACACATAACATCTAAGTCGCAATGGGATGAAATTCATGCCAGGACCTTGCAGGGACTGATTCTCAAAAACCAATCAAAGCCATTTTGAAAGGACAAAAGGGAAAATCTACCAGTGGATTTATATGAAAAGTTATTAATTTGGAATGAAAAGCCCACTGTTCAGAACTGTGGGTAAGATGGGTGTGGGGCAGGTTTAAAAAATTTTTAGCAATAGAGGCTAGGAGTGTACCTCAGTGCAAGAGCATGAACAGGGCTCTAGGCTCAGTCTTTAGAACCACAAAAAAGGGAGGGGGGGAATGGAGGATACAGCTCAGTTGGTGGACTGCTTGCCTAGCACATGTGAAACCCTGGGTTCAATATCCGGCACAGCAAAAATCAGGCATAGTGGTACACACCTAGTAACCGGAAGATGGAGGCAAAAGATCAGAAGTTCAAAGTGAGGGCCAGTGAGATGGCTCAGTGGGTAAGGGCACCAAGCCTGATGAGTTCCATCCACAGGACCCACATGGAGAAAGGAAAAAACCAACTCCCGAAAGAAAGTTGTCCTCTGACTTCCACACACATGCAACGGCACGTACATGCCCAAATATAGACAGACAAGATGCATACACAAAAAAATAAATACATATTTGTTTAAAGTTCAAGGTTAGGGGCTGGAAAGACAGCTCAGCAGTTAGGAGGACTGACTTCTCTTGCAGAGGACCTGGTTTGGGTTCCTACCACCCTTATGATAGCTAACAACTGTTTGAAACTCTAGTTCCAGGAGATCCAACACCCTCTTCTGGCCTCTGTAGGCATGGCACACATTTAGTGCACTTATATATATGCAGGCAAAACATACATAAAAATTTTTTCAAATTATGAAAAAAAGTTCAAGGTCATCCTCAGTTACATAATAAGTTTAAGGACAGGTTGGGCTACAGAGAACCTGTCTCAAAAAAAAAAACCTTTATCGGTATTTATAGGTCAAGTGTCAAAATGTCTTCAACCTCTTTTCAAATGCACCCTCAGAAATATATTTATAAGAGATACAGAGAAGAGAGCAAAGGGGGAAGGCAAATCTGGTACTGTTAAATACGGCTGCTCAAGGAGAGTGGGTCTTACTGTTCTCTTGTTTGTTTGAGGTAGGGTCTCAAACATAGGCCAGGGCTGGGGAGATAGCTCAGTGAGTGGAGCACTTGCCATTTAAGTGTGCGGACCAGAGTTCAGATCTCTAGCGCTGACATAAATGCTGGGTGGGCATGGAAGCCCACCAATCCCAGGACTGCAGAAAGACAGAGAAGGAATCTGGAGCAAGCAGGTTAGCCTAGGCGCATCAGCAGCTCTAGGTTTGGTGAGAGACCATGCCTCGGTATATAAGGTGGTGAGTGACTGAGACACCCGACATCAACCTGACTTCCAGGCTCATGCACACATGGACGGACACCCCCTACACACATGCCATATACATGTGAGCACCTATACATATACACATGTACATTATAACACACACACACACACACATACACACCACCTCAAAAACAATAAAAAAGCAATCATGGGGCAGGAGAGATGGCTCAGTGGTTAAGAGCACAACACAGGTGCACTTACCTACATGCAGGCAATACAGGCATACACATAAAATAAAAATAAAAATTGCCGGGCGTGATGACACACGCCTTTAATCCCAGCACACAGGAGGCAGAGGCAGGCAGAGCTCTGTGAGTTCAAGGCCAGCCTGGTCTACATAGTGAGTTCCAGGACAGCTGGGGCTACAGGGAGACCCTGTCTCAAAAAAAAAAAAAAAAAAAAAAAAAAAAGATAATCACAGCCTAGGTTGTCCTCCAAGGCAATCCTCCCACCTCTGCCTTCTGCATGCAATGGATTAGAGGTGAGCTGCCACATCCAATTTACTGTATAAGGTTTTTTTGTTTTTTTTTTTTTTGAGACAGGGTCTTCTTGTAGCCCCAGCTTCCTGGAACTTGTTATGTAGAGCAGTCTGGTCTCGATCTCACAGAGATCTGCCTGCCTCTGCCTCCTGAGTGCTATGATTAAAGGTGTGTACCACCATGCCTGACTTTTTTTTTTCCTCTTTGGAGACAGGGTCTTAATAAGTAGACCAGGCTGGCCTCAGAGGCATGATCTTCCTGCCTCAGCCTCTCTAGCGATAGGGTTATAGGATTGTGCTACCACACCCAACTCTATTATACTATTCTTTTTGCTTTCTTATAAATTTGAAATTTCTTGTCATAAGAAACAAAAAAGTAGTTCATCATCATCAAAAAAGACAAAAATGGAGGCAAGAGAAGGAAGGAAGGGCGGGAAGAGCGAGGAAGGGTAGACACAGCGATGTGGTAAAAGCTTTCTTGACAATTCTTTTCACTGTGTTGCTCAGGCTGACTTCGAACCCCTGGGCTCAAGTGATCCTCCTGCCTTGGTTTCCTGAGTGCTAGGACTACAAGCATGGGCCACCATGCTGACTTTGACGGTTCTTGAATTCAGGTGGTAACTGTATGGGTTACTTTAATTTTCCCCATTTCGTACATGCTCAGTTGGGTCCTACATGTCACCTAACATTTCTGCAGTGCTAACCTCTGGCCTGTTTTGGTTTGCAATGCTTTCTCATGCAATGCTCCATCTCATATCCACCCCAGAAGGGGGCAGCTCTGTTACGAGGTGCCTATAGACATGGAAGTTGCTCAGGGGTGAGGCAGCTTTCCCAATCCCACACACAGGTATGCTAAGAAGTCAAAGCCCAGACACAGCCAGATGATTCCAGATTGTAATCCTTTCTTGGAGACAGAGTCTCACTATGTAGTGCTGGGTGACCTGGAACTGGCTATGTAGAGTAGACTAAGCTGGCCTTAAACTCATAGAGACCCGCCTGCCTCAGCCTCATGAGTGTACCACCTGCAGCATTCCGAACTCCTAACCTGATCAGAAGCAACCCAAACCATCACACTATTCAAAGAGAAAGGCATGCTAACCACCCTAAGAACTTTACCTTCCACAATGAAGCCCTCTTTCAGCTCTCTAGGCCTAACCCTCCTCTGCAGCACCTGCTGTTCCCAGTAGCATTTCCCCCGACTCCATCTCGTACCTGGCCCGCAGCTAAAGGCACCCTCTGAAGCCTTGCAGTACCCTACAGTGACCTGCAGCTTCCTCCCAAAATCCATTCCTCTCTACACCTTCCAGTTTCTACTCTTCCCAGGATGCGTGATCCTAGGCAAATGACCTTAGAGCACAGAGCCTCAGACTTGTGATCTGTAAATGGGGCCAATAACAGTATCTAATTCAGGGTTTTGTGAAAATTTGACTGAGATAACATAAGGGAATATCCCTTTAAATTAAACCTGGTGCCTGGCACACAGTAGGTACTCAATAAATGTTCCTTTCCAGTGTCCAGCCTCATCACTCCCTCCCTCTTATGTCCATCCACTCACCCATCCCTAGTGTCCCCTCCTCTGTCTCGTGGTTTGGACCCCTAGTGGGCTATAGTTTCTAGATTCTGCTGCTACGACACCCTGTCACCACCCCCACCCCCAATTCAGACTTACCCCCTGGGAATGCAAGTACTCCACTGTCTTGCTTATGGTATGCAGGACAAAGCTGGCCTCCCGCTCAGAGAAGAACTTCTGTCGTAGGATCTTGTCTAGTAGCTCTCCACCCCTCATCAGCTCCGTCACCAGGTATACATGTTTGCCATCATCATATACCTGCCAAAGACATCATCATCAGGCTTGCACCAGGCCTTAGGTCTGGGTTCTGCTGTACTTAAGTGGGCCTCCCTGGGCCTTTACCATCTGGGTGCCTGTCCTCACCCCCAATGGGCAAAAGAGGATTCAAAACTGTGTGAGTCTGCACAGAAGGGCTCTTTAGGTAAAGCCTGACCAGAGAGACTCAGGGCTACCCACTCCCTCTCCCCACGCACACTTGGGGGTGGTGGTGGTAAGGGTGGTGTGGTAGGGGGAGAACCTGAACTCAATTGTATGGTGCACACCTTTAATCTTAGTACTTGAGGGGCAGGAACAGAGGCAGAGGCAGGTAGATCTCTGAATTCAAGGCCAGTGTGGTCTACAGACTGAGCTCCAGGCTAGCCAGGGTTACACAGTAAGACCTTTCTCTCTCTCTCTGTCTCTGTCTCTCTCCTCTTTTTCTCTGTCTCTCTCTCTTTCCATCTGTTTGAGACAGGATCTCCCTGTAGCCTCAGCTGGTTTGGAACTCGCAAAGATCTGCCTGCCTCTGCCTACTGAGTGCTGGGATTAAAGATGTGGGCCACCATACCCGGCAAGACCCTGTCTCAAAAAGCCCCCCCCCAAAAAAAGGGGGTGCTGGAGAGCTGGCTCAATGATTAAGAGGCTGCACTGGTAGAGGACCTGGGTTTGGTTCCCAGCACCCACATGCTGGCTAACAACAATCTGTAACTCTAGTTTCCAGGAGAATTAATGCCCTCTTCTGGCCTCCATGGGCATTGCACACATGTGCACTAACACATTCAGGCAGAACAATCATACACATAAAATTAAAATAAATAAAAAAAATTAAAAAAAGAAAAAAAAGCATGGTGTTTCCAAAGACTAACCCTACATTTGAGAGCCCCCACCTAGAATCAAGGACCCCCTGCAACTCACATCTTTCAGGGTGATGATGTTGGGGTGCTGACCATACCGCAGAAGAATCTCAATCTCTTCTGAGGGATCCCGTTTGCTCTTGTCAATGACCTGAAGAAAGTGGATGCACAGGCCAGTGTCAGGGGCACAGATTCCATGGTCCCTCCCTGCCACAGAGCCCATACTGCAGGGCAAGGGAGAATTTTAGCTACGTGCCTGTCACCATCTACAGACCCTCCCACCAAAGGGACACAGCTGTGCTGGCCTCATCCCCTGCCCAGCAGCCTCTACCAAGATGTGATCAGGAGGCCCACCTTGACAGCATACTCCATGTTGGTGGCCTTGTGGACACAGCGCTTGCACACAGAGTAGGAACCCACGCCAATCGTCTCCTTTACCACATAGCCATCACTAAAAACCAAGCTCTTCCCATGGAGTTGCTGTAGAAGACCAAGAAATCAGCTTGACTCTGGGCTCTACGGTCAGAGTACTTCATAGCACCAGGACCTTGGCTCAGCAGAGATAGCACAGAAAAAGTCACAAGGCCTGCCTGGGGAGAATGCTTTTTATCTTTTATTTTGAGACAAGGTCTCCCTGTAGACCCAGCTGACCTGGAACTCATTATGTAGACCAGGCTGGCCTGGACCTCACAGAGATCCGCCTGCCTCTGCCTCCTGAGTGCTGGGATTAAAGGCATGTGCCAAGTCGGGAGACCCCTTTCTAAGCCTCAGTTTTCTACCCAACACAATGGGCACCACTCACTAACGCTCCACTGGCTGTTGTCTGGAGTCACAGGATGGTCCAGGAGGTGGAGGTAAGGGAATCAGAGCATGCACATTGAGAAGCTGTGGTTTTAGAAGCCTAGGCCCAAGGGGAATGAAGATGCCAGTATGCATCCTAGCTGTGCCATTTAATGCAGCTTTGGGCTGCAAAGGAACCTCTGCTTCCTGTGGAGTCAGGGCATTATGTCAGGTCTCAAGTCTTTAAAAATATTTTACTTACTACTTTTATTTTATGTGTAGAAGTGTATTTCATGCATGTATGTAAATGCACCTCTGTCATACAATGCCCTCGGAGGCAGGAAGAGGGCATCGGATTCCCCTAGAACTGGAGTTACAGATGGTTGTTAGCTGCCATATGGGTGCTAGAAATCGAATCCAAGTCCTCTGCAAGAGCAGTCAGTGCTCTTAACCGCTGAGCTGTCTCTCCAGCCCCAGATCCCAAGTTTTTAAAAGTAGCAAATATGAACGTGGCATTTGGCATGTGTGTGCCATTCACTATTTTAAACATCTTCCTCAAGTGCCACATGAACTGTGGACAATCTTGGCTTATACCTGCTGCCTTCACACCCAGTTTGGTTATCTTAGACAAGATGTCCCACCGTAGATAAGAAAGTACACAGTAACAGGGCATGGTGGCACACACATTTGATCCCAGCACTCGGGAGGCAGAGGCAGGCGTATCTCAGTGAGTTCGAGGCCAGCCTGGTCTATAGTGAGTTCCAGGCCAGCTAGGGCTACAGGGAGACCCTGTCTCAAAAAAAAAAAAGAAATTACATAGTGACCATCACTTTACACATTAGATCTGAATATCTTCACAACTCATTAATTATAGAAGAGGAAACTGAGGCACTGGGAAGATGTCTCCTCGAGTCCTGTCACCCTTTGAGCTCTAAACCCAGGCAATGGGCTCTAGTATGACATGATTGCCAATCAACTATAAACTTTCCAAAGAGCAGTATAGTATAGAAATGAAGGGCAAATTGGAGCAGACGCAAATCCCCTGCCACCCACTGCTGTCAAGGATGCTGGAGTCACTCCCTCATTCCTCCTTTAAGGAAATCTCTGGCATTCACCAAGACCCCAGCTCTGTGCCAGGAAATTTATATCCGTTTTTAGCCAATGAGCAGGGCCACTTTGTGAGGCAGGCATTATCATCTGTGTTTCACACCTCACAAGAACAGTGAGGTCTGGGTGCTTGGAGGTCCTCTGGGTCCCATAAGGGCATCAGGGTTTGTTGAGCTCCAGAGCCTGTGTTACCAGCTCTTCTGCCTTTGTGGCTTCTGGGTGGAAAAGGACAACTGAGCAACAGTCCCCCGCCTCCCTCACCTGTACCACCGAGTGCAGGGGGGCCTGAGTGGTCCGAGACTTGCCATCATCCTCCATCAGCCCAGTGGCCACGAAACTGAAGCCACGGAACAGCTGATGGGCACCAGCACTGGGAGGTATGCCTGGGGAATCTGTGGGGCAAGGAGGAGAATATGACCATCTGAGGGGGTGCTCTTGACCCCAAGGCAGACCAGCAAGACCAGGGAAATCTTGAGGATCTTGACCTGCCTCAGTAGGTAGCTATGGTGGGACTGTGTGTAAGCCCCACCCATCCCAGGTTTTTACCCATCTGTTCATATGTGTAGCTCAACAGCATAGTGCTTGCCTAGCATATAAGATGACCTGGGTTTATTCCCTAGTACACAAATTCAATCAACCAATCAACCAACCAACCAATAAATTTGGAGACAGTAATACATGCCTGTAATCTTAGCACTCAGAAGTCTGAGTCAAGAGGATTGCTGCTAGTTTGAGTCTAGCATGGGCAACATAGTAAATTCCAGGTGAGCCTGAGCCACAGAATGAAACCCTGTCTCAAAAATCCTAATTAATTAACCAATTGATTAATTTAATATAAGTAAATAAAACACTTGCTTGGACCAGCCCAGTCTTGTCACATGAGGAATGCCAAGCCCCTCCACATCTGGCCTTCCACTCAAGCCAGGCCCAGGATGCCCCGTTCCCAGCTTCTCCACCTTAGGGCCGTTCCCTTCTTCAATCTATCATTGGCATATTAGCCAGAGGGGCAGTTCCAACCACAAAATCTGCTGACCTTAGTCTGGCAATTGAGGTCCATGTGGTCTTAGCCCTCCTCTCTCCCCATTCAAAAGCTCAGCCCCACTGGACCCCTCATCCCCACCCCAAGATCCTCAAAAGGGCCTCAGAGCCACTATGCATACGGCTCTCCCTGGTTAGATAATCCGTTCCTTGTCCATCAGTCAAGGGTTAGCTCACATGGCCTCTCCTCTGATAAGGCCTGCCTGGCACTGCCTCTAACCCCTATAAAACCTCTCTCCCATCAACAGCCTGAGCTACATGAAGGCGGGGTTTGGGTCCATCTTGTTGACCACCATCTTGAGTCTGTCTTGTCATCACTTTCCCTATGGCTGACAACATGACAAGGACCTGGTATGCAGTCAGCAAATAAAGGGGGGAAAAAAAAGAAGAGACAAATGGCTCAGAGAAGTGCCCAGGTTCCTGTCATCAATGGTGTGCAAGCTACACACAAAATCTAGGTGGCATCTAGAACTAACATGCAACTCTATACTGGCAGTATCTGGCCAGAACGTCAGGATTTCAAACTACCTCCAAGAAGTACCGCCACTGGCTTCTTGCAGCAACCAGAGATGAGGGGGTCTTCGATCGCCCCCATGTTCCAGATGAGTACACTGAGGTCTAGCATTAGAAGCCAAAGTCCATTCCCACGTATGCCCACCACAGACCTGTGGGTGCTGTCACCTCCGTTCTGCCAGATTCTCTAGCATGGGTCTGCCAGGTCAGATTCCTCTTCCCTGACGTGAGTAGAGGCCTGACATGTTTAATCTCCCCAGTAGGCTGAAAGATGCCTGGGGCAGGGGTCCTGACTTTCCTATTGTAGCCTAACCCACCCCCACATCTCACTCCTTCACCCAGACACAAAGAGGCCCACAGAGCCCCAGAGGGACAGGTGGCATGAGGCAAGGACACAGTAAGCCAGATACTGCCTGGCTTACTACCCACACACCTGGGCCTTTGAAAGTCCCCGATTGCCTCTGCATCCCTGGATGCCCCCAACACCCTGCTTCCCTGGGCCCTGCTCCAGACAGACAAACCAGATCAGGCACATACCCCTGGGTGTGCGGGATGTGAACTCAGTGTCAAAGTAGAAGGTATCATCAGGCTGGGCCACAGCTGGCTTGAAGGGCGGCTTGATCTCACGACGGTAGAGCTTCTGCAAGGTGGGGTGAATGCTCTGATCACTCTGGTGACCTCAGAGCCTGTCAGCAGCCCCAGCAAGAGAACTGGAAAGCATACTGCCCAACAGTACTGCAGCATCAGGAGACCAGCCTTCAAGGGCATGAAATCACCCTCCAAGGACATTTTATGGGCTGATATAAACTTTTATCTCCCACACCCAAGGTCATAGTTGGCCCAGGGCCCCTCCACTCCCCTTCTGATGTCCATCATAGTTAGAGCCATGGTGTGGATGGATACACTCACATTCCAGTCAATGGTAGAATAGAAGACATGCCTCTTGATTTCCTCAGCCCCATCAGGCCCAGAGCCTGAAAGAAACCAAATGAGGGGTCTGCCCCTGAATGTTCAACCTCAGACACCCACTCCATCCACCAAATGGCTGCACAGTGCACTGGAACAGCTGCTGGAACAGAGGGCAGGATGGGTTCCCCCACCTGGTATCTTACCAGCCATACCCTGAAACCTGTAGCCCACTCAGCATTTTCTACTTTATGGAGCCTCTGATAATCAAGCCCCAGTGGACTGTAAGAAGGAAGGCTCAGACAGCACAGGTGACTTGTCAATGCTACATGGTCAGGACAAAGGCTAGACTTGTTCTGCGATCTAAAGAGGGCCCCCATCCCCTCCTGACGCAGGCCCCACCTCTGCCTTTCTTTTCCTATTGCCCTTTCAACCCAGAGACAAGCTCTTGTTCCATTCAACCGAGAGTTCTGGATTGGACCGCAAGACATTGGTAGTGGTCCAGGTAAAGCCAGCAATCAAGGATGGTTAGCACATACTACACACCCACTGCACAACAGCCATGTCCTCGAACCCTCCCTGTGAGCCTGCGCAGACTCATGCGCTCCACCCACAACAAGGAACCTGGGGCTCAGAGAGGCGAAGTCATCTACCCAAATCACATAGCTCATAAATAGCACTCAATCACTCAACAAATATTTACAGTGACTGCTGGGTGCCAGGCAGTGGGGACTGACACAGTCAGGACCAGGACCTAAGCCCTTTCTCACTCATGAATTCATGTGCCTTCTCCTGAGCCAGCAACCTTGGCAGAGAAGCTGTGTGGGGGCCTCTGTCCTTGTCCCTGAGGGAGTAGGGATGACTCAGTTCCTGCCTTCCCCTACACACAGGTCACCACCCCCCAACACCACACATGGAGCCAGAAAACAGGGTGGCGGGCAGCATTGTCTGCTCACACAAAGGACAACAGCTCCTTTCAGCCCCAGATGTGGCCCTGTGGCCTAGGCTGCAGCTGTACCCTGCTCCCCTCTGCCACCCCTCCCAAGCTGGGGTTGCTTACCAAGCCGGTTGGCAGGATTCCTCTTGAACAGGGCTCGCAGGAGGCTCTGAGCTTCCGTGCTCAGAAACTGGGGCATGCCTAGCTTCGCCCTGAAACAGCCCCAGGGTCTCATCAGGGCTGAGCCCCACCCAGAAGCCCTCCTTTGTCCAGGTCTCCTTCCCAGCTGAGTCCAAAGGAGCAAGCCACTAACCTCCTAAAGACTTTAGGGAGTCCCACCCACTGGCCCCTGTAGATGACAAGGGCCTGTGGAGGCAGGGATAGTTTCTGGGGTGGGGATAGGGAGACACTGCAGTACCAGGGTAGGACTAATGCTTACTTCAAAATCAAGGTCATAGTCTCCTTCCGGTCCTTCCCCTGGAAGGGCAGGGAGCCCGTCAGCATCTCAAACTACAGAGGACAAAGGACAGTTCAAGCTTGATCTTGATCTCTGTCTTGCAAACCTGCTTCCTCCTCCCAGCCAGGTCACCCTGCTCTCATCCCAGGATTCTTACTGGCCTGTTGGACTTCAGAATCCACTTACAGCAAAGCCTATATCTACCTCTTCACCCCTCTCCCAAGCCAGATTCCAGGAGTAGCACCCAGGCTTGAAGCCAAGGAGGAGCCCCAAGTCGGATTCGGGGTACCCCAAGTGGTGTTAAAACCCATGATCCTTCCAAGGAAAGAAACTGCAGCAGTGTGCAGAGGGAGACAAGCTTGGCTATGAGAGGACAAGGGGAAGGTCTTGAAGATGACCAACCTCCTCCCTGAGCATATGGAGAAATTGAATCCAGAGCCTGGCGCTAGATCATTTACCTTTGCCTAGGCACTCACCATCAACACCCCATAGGACCACCAATCTGCACTGTGGGTGTGACCCTGGCGGTTGACAACCTCGGGAGCCATGTACTCCACCGTCCCGCAGAAGGAGTAGGCCTTCTTCTCATGATCAATGGCCTCCTTGCTCAGGCCAAAGTCTGCAACAGGAGGGCAGAAAAGTCATGTTCAGGATCCCTGCCCTCCTTACCAACCCCCTGATTGGAGGGCGTTACCTACATGACACTCAGGAGGAAGCTGAAGGACACAGAGGTTAGGTGACTTGCCCAAGACTACAGTGGGGAGCTGCAATTCTGAATCGGGGTATTTGAAGTCTGGGGTCTGGGCTTTGATTCCTTATGAGTAACAAGCACCATCTCTTAGGAAGAATGAACTCCCAGCTCTCAACTCCGACCTATAAGGAGCCTACTGCATCCTTCCCTGGAGTCTGAGGGGGCAAGTGTCCTTTACTCACCAGTGAGTTTGATGTGGCCCTCTTCATCCAGAAGGATACTGCAACAGATAGTCAGGAGTCAGGATCCTCAGCAGTAGGCACCATGTGGGCTCTGGCGGTACCACAGAGTGGAAGGACTTGGGCCTGCCCAGAGGACGTGCTCAGCCCAGATCTACCCAATGAGTAAGTGGCAGAATGGAGATCTGGTAATGCCATGCAGGTGCCATCAGGGCTCCATTCACTAATGGAAAAACTATAGCTTGGGAAACTAACTCTGTATAGCCACAGAGCTAGTCGGTGACAAGACTGGAATGTCTGTGGAACTCTTTTTCTTCTTCTTCTTCTTCTTCTTCTTCTTTTTTTTTTTTTTTTTTTTAGTACGGGGTCTCACTTTTTTTAACTTTCTAGGCTCTCTGAAGCCAGGAGCAGCTCTCTAGGGTGGTCTCTTCTTCTTTTTTTTTTTTTTTTTTTTTTTTTTTAGTACGGGGTCTCACTATATTCAGCATTGAATGCCTGAGCTCAGCCTTCTTAGCAGCTGGGACTACAGGTATGTGCCATGATGCTAGGCTTAAGGTATGCCTAATTCTAACACCAGATCCTATCCTACCTCAACACTTGCTCCTGGTCCCCAAAATACCATGGGAAAGCACTATATACAGACAGCATGGAAAAATTCCAGGAGGATTATATTAAGAATGCTCTTTAATGGTAGCCGAACAGATTAGGAAAAAAGGGGGAAATATAGTTGCCTGGTGGCCTTTGGCAACTGCAGTCCTGACTAGGCAGTCCCTAACCACCGAAGGTGAGCCCCACCCTGTTCCACCCACCCATCCCTCAGACAGCCCCAAAGAGGGAATTCCTGGGGAAGGCTATAGCATCTCCATCAGAGTGGCCTTGTTCTAAAAGAGGCCTAGAAGTCTGTGCACCTTGGAGGGAGGCAAGGGTGAGGTGGGGACTTCACTCACTTCTCAGGCTTGAGGTCTCTATAAATGATGCCCAGGCTGTGCAGGTGGTCCAGGCCCAGAGCCAGCTCAGCCAGGTAAAACTTCACATCCTCCTCTGTAAACATAACCTGCAACATGGAAACACACTTCAGCTGGGACCTTCTGTTCCCTAGGAGCTGGGCCAATGTTCAGTCAGTAGCATTTTGGTGCTGAGTCCACCCCAGGGACACACTCCAATGCCACATACCTTTCTTTTTCCAAAGGCATTTGAAGTATGAAATGGCTGATACAAGTTAGTCATTATACTACTGTTTTAGAAATAGTGCAGAGTTGAAAACAGGTGTCCAGGAGTAGAAGACTGGAATAAATTGCCTCTCCCTAGCATAATGGAAGGCTATGTAGCCATAAACTAGAACAAGAAGTTTCTCCATGTTCTGATAGGGACACTGTCTGAAATACTGTCTTGAAAGAAGCCAGGTTTAGAACAGTATAGTGAGAATGGTACTTTTTAGGTAAGACAGTGGGGGTAGGGGCAGATTCAGAGTACTTGTTGGATTTGTTTGAGGAAGGAACATGGGAAGATTAAACAAGAAACCAATAAAAATGTTTACCTATGGACAGGTGTAGACAGAATTGGGGTAGGAAGACTTCATGAATATTTTTCTTTTGAATCGTGTAAATGTATTACTTAATTAAACATTATACAAATTAAGTTGGGCATGGTGGTGCACCCCTTTAATCCCAACACTTGGGAGGCAGAGCTAGGCAGATCTCTATGGGTTCAAGGCCAGCCTGGACTACATAGTGAGTTCCAGGCCAGCTGGGGCTACAGGGAAACCCTGTCTCAAAAAGAGAAAAAACAAAAGACATTATACAAATTAAAAGTTTGGTTCTAGGCCAGCAAGATGGTTTAGCGGGTAAAAAGTAAAGGTACCAAGTTTCAAAACCTGCATTTGATTCCCCTTGGAACTTGCATGGTGGAAAGAGAGAACCAACTCCCAACACACACACACACACACACACACACACACACACACACACACACAAACACACACAATATATAAATAATATTTTTTAAAAGTGTGGTTCTGGGGTTAGGGAGATGGCTCAGTGGATAAGAATACTGGCTACTGTTGCAGAGGACCCAGGTTTGGTTCCCAGCAGCCAACAACCTCCATGACTCCAGTTCCAGGGGATCTGATGCCCTCTTCTGGTCTCTGAGGGGACTGCATGACACAGGTGCATTTACATACATGCAGATAATATAATCATACACATAAAATACTTAAATAAAATTTTGAAAAAGTGTGCTTTTTGGTGTTTATTGTTTATGTTTTTATTTTTGTTCTTTTTCATAGTATTACAGATTGAATCAGGTCTTTACATATCTAGGCAAGTGCTCTAACAGTGAGCTACATCCTGTCTTATCTTAGTTTATTTAATTAACTATTTTTTTAAATATATTTTATTATTTTTATTTTATGTGTATGAGCGTATTGCCTGCATGTATGTGAGTGCACCTGTGTCGTGCAATGCTGCGGAGGTCAGAAGAGGGTATCGGGTTCCCCTGGAACTGGAGTTAAGGACGGTGGGTAGCCGCCATGTGGGTGCTGGGAATTGAACCCAGGTCCTCTGCAAGAGCAGTTGGTGCTCTTAACCACTGAACCATCTCTCCAGCCCTTAATTAACTTTTAAAAACAATTTTTATTACATTTATTTATGGGGGGGACCATGTGCATGCCATAGCATGCATGTGGAGGTTATAGGACAGCTTGTAGGAGTTTGAGTCTCTCTTTCTACCATGTAGGACCCAGGGGTAGAACTCATGTTGCCAGACTTAGCAGCAGATGCTTTTACCACTGAGCCATCTCATTGTTTTCAAATAAGGTCTCATTCTATAGCACTGTCTGGCCTGGAACTATGTAGACCAGGCTAGCCTAGAACTCAAGAGCTCCACCTGCCACTATCTCCCAGGTGTGAGCCACCATACCTGGATTTATTTCTTATTTGGAGACAGAATCTCATTAAATTGCTCAGACAAGCCTTAAATTTGTAATCCACCTGCCTCACCTTCCCAAGTGGCTGAGATTACAAGCCAGCACCACAACGCCTGGTGAAGTTTGGTTCTCGCTAAAGGTTTAATTGTATTAATGATCCCATTTTTGTATGTGGTTCAGACCCTTTTGTATGAAATGTGGGACAAGAACCCTATGTTTTTAGTCTTCTGGGTGGGTGTGGGCTTCTTTTCCATGCTCATGCCCTGGCCAGCACAGCTACCTGGTGCTCTACCGGGTGGAGAGTTGAGAGGTTCCCTTAGCAACCTGAAACCAGGGCAGCATCATATTCAGACCTTACTCATTTTCAGCTCATCTTGAGAGAAACTCTCAGAGGCTTTGCCAGGGGTGAGCTCTGTTCCAGGGCAGGTGATATTTCTTGAGTCAGGGGTTGCCAGGCAGAGTTGGGCAATTACATGCCCAAACCATACCGACATTTTTCATAAGACCTGGGGCTGGGAGTTCTCATGTCCACAGCTCCTCCCTGGAGGCCCCTGGCAGTGGAATATCAACTCACCTCCTTTGAAAGTCGTGTGAATAGGTCACCACCACGCAGGAAGTCCAGAATGAGATAGAGCTTGCCCTCAGTCTGGAAGGCTAGAAGAGAGGCCAAGGTGGAGTTGGTTGGACCTTGTGACTGGCCTTGCTATCCCTGGCTCCTTGGCTTGTCCCATGAGAAGTGGGACAGGGAAGGCAACAGACCACAGGCAAGGCTGGACAGAGGAAGGGTGGCATTTGGGCAGGGTCTGCAGTCTCACCATAGTGGAGCTTCACCACGAATGGGTGGTTTACATCAGCCAGGATATCTCTTTCCATCTTGGTCCGAACTCGGTCACGCACTGGCCAGAGGAGAAAGGAAGTCACCAAAAGTCAACATCTCCAACATAGCCACACCCCCAGCCCAACTCTAGGTGTTCTTTTCCACTCATTCTTCCAGGTCCACAGCTTCTAAGACTCTCTCACGCAGGGCTTTGGGGACACTTGGTTTTATTCTTTTCTCTCTGGATGGTTCTGGCTCGTTGGCCTGCTCTGTGCTCTTGTTCCTCACAGTGAAGCCCAGACAGAGTCTTGATGCCTGCCCAGCTCTCTAGATTCATCTACCATGCCCCAAAGAGGGCTACTGAGCACCTGGTGACCCTATTTCCTGAAGTCCCCAGCTTCGATTCTGTACCTCCCCCAGCACACTGTAATCAACCCCTCTGTATCTGCCATAAAAATCTCTGTGTTCTAGCCCTAAGATTGATTTGTGGGTCTGTGCAGACATCTTTCACAAGTTTTTTGTTTGTGGGTTTTTTTTGGGGGGGGGGGCGTATTTGGAATAAGCTCCCAAAGTTGGCCTTGAATGCTTCATCCTCTCCTCCTCCCTCCACCTTCCAAGTGCTGGGATTATAAATCACATGCCTGTTTTTGGTAAAGAATAAAAGTTACCAGGCAATTCTGACCACCAACAGGCTTTTGGTTGACTAGGTTCAGACCCCGCCTCCTCCAGGAAACATCCTCACGCTGCAGGCAAGGCTGGGCGTCCTGGGCTTCCACAGTGCTGCGCTCCTCTATACATCACATCTAATTCAGTTTTATTTCTCTCACTAGATGTGGCAGGGGCCACACTGCAGTTAAACAGTTCAGTTACTTTCAAACACTCCACACATGTACCCCTTAGGTACAAAGTGCCTTCCCTGGTGCCCTTCCTCTGGAAAACTCAACTTCCTCAAGGCATACTTCTGCCCTTAACTCCTCTGGTGTCCCCTAGACCCTTCAGCTGTCCTCTATGAGGCTGCACCCCACCCCCAGACATCTGTGTACACAGGCTTGGCACTGCTGCATCCCGCTGCCACACCATGTTTAGACTTTCCTGCCCAACTTGTGAGCCTCTCAGAGCAGGGAGCACATCTTTTCATCTTTCTCCACCTGGGTAGCTCCTACTATCTCTTCTAAGGGATGATCCTGCTGTCAGGCTGCACTAAAGTCTCCATCATCCAGCAGCAAACAACCCTTGGTGGGTTAAGGACCAATCTGTCCTTAAAGCTGACCCTTTCTTTCTCCCCATTATATCCACAGCCAAGACTTAGCCTGGGACATCCACCTGATTACTGGCTTCCAGGCCAGTCAGAACCAACATCTGGCCTATAGCCCACTATTGACCACCCTCATATTCTCAAAATTCTTGGCTCTGGCTTGGGACTCCCTCTGAACCTCTATGCCATCCAACTCTGTGGCCCTGTGGCCCCATCACCATTTTTTAAGGAGCTCCAGCTCTACTCCCAGGCTCCCTGTCTTTTCCCTTAGGCCCTTCAGCATCCTGAAAACAAAGATGTCTCCCCTCAGACCCTCTAGGCATCATGAAGCAACTCTGTTGATAGAACATTTCGGCTCAATCAATCTGATAGCCGAGTCTCCCACTCTACCACAAGCATACTGCATTTACCCCATCACTTCATGTCAGAGTTTTACTTGGTTTTGGAGGAAGAGGATGAGGGGTAAGGGGTGGCTGGGAATAGGCTTGTTCCTGACTCTACACTAAATGCTCCTGAAGATGAAGCCTCCTCCCTCATCAGCTCCAAGACCCCTGGGACCTTGGCTTCTTCCTCATTCCCAAGCCCAGCTTCTGTTCTGCCTATGAAGCACTTACCTTTTAATGTCGCTTTCTTTAGCACTTTCATGGCATACAAGTGCCCAATGTCAGGCCGGGTGACCTTGCGTACCAGGAAGACCTGAGAAGGCAGATGGCAGGAAAAGCCAAGGAGGAGGTGTAAGGCAGCTGACCCAACTGCCTTCTACCCTCTATGTTGATCTGCAGATTCCCTAGGACCTCAAGTTGACCATTTGCTCTTCCTGGGTTCCAAGATGACGTCCCACCCTTGCCCTATGATTCTTTGGACCCCAAAGGTGACCCCCCCCGACACCCCACCTCTGACATGACCTCAGGGATTCATGACTCACTTTGCCAAAGGATCCCTGGCCCAGAACCTTGAGGAGTTCGAAATGGGATGGATCAGCCTTCTCAGAGCCAGCCTTGACATGGTGTGTGATGGAGATCTCCTTGAGGACGCCCTCATCCTGATAAAGGGACAGAGTTGGCAGGCCTAGGGCCCTGCGGGGGCAACATAGTACACAGCCTATCCAAGGCATTTCACCAGATCAAAGCAGGCCCCACAGATCACTCCTTCAACAGAGCAGCTCGTGGGTACCAACAATGTCTCAAAGGTCAAGAAGGCCAACTACTAGGGTGTTGACTCAGGTGAGGCCTTGCTCCTGAGGCACTGATGCCAAGGTCTGCTCTGGGCAGACCCAAAGGGGGGGCCCAGACAGGACCAAGATGAGTTGACTCAAGGCTTGGGTCCAATGTAGGGACCTGCCCCAGGCCCGCCCGCAGGGCTCCCCTCCCCCTGCTGTTTGGGTTTTGCCACAATAGGAAGTAGGGTTTGAGCTCATAATGGGGAGGTAAAACAGGCCTTTTTTGCTAGTCAGGATGAGATGAAGCAATTCCTCTGGTTGTATGGATAAGACTGACTACAGAGAGATCTAAGAGTTACCCAGACATCCCTCTAGGGCAAGTGAGAGTTAAGGCCTGGTACTCCATGCCCTATCTATGGAAACTTCTCTTAATAAGCTTCTGGAAGTCCTTGAAACTTCCCTTGATAAGCTTCTGGATGCCCTAGTCAGGTTGCTGCTGCTCAAGGACCTCTGGGCCCCTGGCCCCTCTCCAATCTGCTCATCTGGCCCTGAGGTGCCTCATTACTTCCCCAGGAAGTCAATCTGGGCAAGGTCCAATCGTCCAATAGGGCCAGGAGAGTCCAAAGCCAGCTGAGGCCAAACTGGTTGCCTGGGCACCTGTCTGAGGGCTACTGTCAAGCCAGGGCCAGACATCCGGGCACACTTACCGAGTCCTGCTGGGGGCCAGAGCCAGGGCCAGGGGCAGGCAGAGTGGTCTGGCCGATCCTGGACCTCTGCTTCCTGGGCAGCCAAGGGAGCAGGGCCCAGAGCCGCAGACGGGGCAGCTTGGGGTCCTGCTCCATCCGCCCAGCAGGGCCACGGCACCATGGCAAGGGTAGGCAGCAACCAGGGCTGCCGAGGAGGTAGCTAGGCCCAAGGCGGATGTGCAGGGTGAGGGCGCAGGGGGGCTGGGCCTGGCCCAGGACAGCCAATCACTCAGGGCCTGTGGTTTCCTAGCTCCAGGCCTCCACCCTCACTCTGTTCTCTTCTCTCTTCCACCCCCCCCCATTGCCTGAGGGCTGCCCTCTGGCCCTCCCCCCATCCTGCCCTGTGGGCTTACAAAGAGAAAGCCCATGCCAACCCAGCTGCGGAGCAGATAGGTCCTAGAAAAGCAGGAACCTGACAAAGGGTACCCAATAGTCAGTCAGGTACCTAGCATGTAGTGGCAGATAAGGATAGACACCTAACAGGCAGAGGCAGGTAGCCAACAGGTAGAGACTGATAAGGACAGGCATCCAACAGGCAGGTGCAGGAAGATACACATACATATGTGCATGTACATACACAAACACACACACACACACACACACACCTCCATCCAAGAGGCAGGGATGTGTAATTCAAGGGCATATCCCCAGTAGAAGATAATGGGGATCAGTACCCAACAGGCAGAGGCAGATGGGCACACATACCCAACACACAGAGATGGTTAGAGACATGTACCGAGAGGCAAAGACAGGAGGAGCCCATTATCCACTGGGCAGAGAGGAGGGAATTCAGGTCTAACAGAGAGACTCATACTTTAATGTGCAAAGACAGAAGGAGACCCAAATTCAACATGCAGAGACAGAAGGAGCAACTCAACACTTACCATGTACCCAACCCAGGAAGACAAGCACTTGGAGACAGTGTGGAACCCAACAAGAGAGGCAGGGTTGGCAGCAGAGAGACAGGCAGAGTGAGTGAAGCCTCCACAGAATGATGGCTATCCGTGGCAGACCCAGGCAGATAGTGGAGCAGGGATCCCCAGAAGACAGTGGGCAGAGCTGTGTGTTCTTGCTTGAGGGCTCGGAATGGGGAGAAGCGAGAGGAAACACAGTTGCCAGCCCCCAGCGCTCAGCAGCAGTGCCATGTCTGTGACCGATCCCATCTGAGGATTTCTAATCATTTCCTGAGGGCTTCTTAGGGAGACTCAGGTGTGAGGCAGAGGCTGAGAGCCCTATTTCCTAAGTGCCTCTGATCCAAATACCCCCAAAACTTAATAATCTCTTTTAGGGAGCAGAAAAACAGGTCCAAGTTCAAAGTGAACCAATGACAGAACTGGCCTGAACCAAGTCCCTCCTCTGGGACCTGCCTGCCTGGAGTCAGCAGCCTTAAGTGCCAGGAAAGGGTGGGCAGGTAAGTCAGCCAGAGCTGCTTCCTGCCCACCCCAAGCTTGCCCTCTCTCTCAGTCCTAAAACCAATCTGGAATTTCCCACTCCAGGTCCTGACTCTAGAAGATTCAATGGGTGTAAGAGCACCACCAAACCCCTGAAAACTGTAGGCTAATCAGGCCCCTGAGAGTAAACTTTGGTTAGACAGGCAGAAAGCATGGCTCAGAGAGGGGGCTGTGGCTGGGCCAAGACCACACAGCAATCCCTGTTCACTCCACCCTGAGTTCTGTTCCCCTGTCTGCCTGAAAATACTCCCTGGGGATAGACACAGCTACCCGGAAACCCCAGGGGACAGTGCCTCCCCCAAACCTATTCCTCACCCAGTGTCATGGTGACAGACACTCCTGGAGGCAAATCACCCTTTTCCTCACCTTTCTGGGAGAGGAGCCAGACTCTCTCTCAACCCTGGGGAAATCTGCTGGGGTCTGCATGGTGGGGTCCAAGCCGGTGGCCAGAGGGCCCTGTTATTCTCTACTTCTGCTTTTTTTTAGCCTTCTTGGCCCAGAAGGCAGGGTCTCTGGCCCCCCTCCTTCTCACTTCCCTCTTAGCATGGAGGAGGAAGTCTCCATGCTAATGGAGATGGGTCAGGCTCCCCTGCTGAGAAGCGGACACTGCAGACCCCAAGCCCATGATCCAGAGAGAGCTCAACGGTACACCCCTAACCTAACTCTTCCCCTCAAGGAAGAGAGACAGGAACAGACAGAAGTCACAAGATGCCCAAACAGCGGGCATTCAGCACTTGAAAATATCTACCTTGGGGCCCCCCTAGAACACACAGGACAAGTCAGCAAGGCCAGTCTAACTGACCCAACCTGGAGTTTAGACACTTCTCCCCCCATAGAGTCCCTGCCATGGCTGGCCACCCATGATAGTGGCCCACAGAGCAGGTATCACCATGCCTGGTCCTGCTTCTGTTCAAAAACACCAGTCCTGAGCCCTTGGACAGGCAAGAGGGCCAAGCCTTTCCATCAAGCTTTCACCTCATCTCACACTGACACAACCACAGGAACTGACAGCTAGGCTCAGGCCAGTGATTGGAAGCCCTTTTTACAGGCAGCCCTGTGTAGAAATACATGCCTCCTCATGCACACGGACTTCCCCTTCCCTGTCCTCACAAGGCCCAGATAACCGTCTGTGGTAGATGGCCTATGAGGTTGTGAAAGATGCCTCCCCAGACTGAAGCTTCTTCAGCAGGGGTGGCTTGCCTGAAGACTGGCCAGAAGCACCTATGACCAGCCCTTCCTCAACCCACAAGTCCCACAGAAACAGGGACAGCTGACAGGGTACAAGCAAAGGCAAGATGAAAGAAACAGTCTCAGAACTGCTTTTGCTGAAGGGTGTGAGAACCTGAGGCCTCTGATAGCTGGAAGTGGAAAGGACAGATACCAGTCCACATCCCTGGTCCCCTCAACAGATACTTCCTCTTTATTTACTTCCTCCCCCAGAACAGCTAGGAGAGAAGCCCAGAGCCATACCACCTGATCCTTGTCCCCTAGGGTCTCCACTCTAGGTCTCCTTCTGCCTGTGTGGTCAAGCCCACTTGTCAATCCCTGGTCCTAATGGCCACCTACAACCCTTTCCCCAGCTGGCAGCATCTGCAGGGCCCTCCAGGTATCTCTCAGCATGCTTCCGGGCAGGTTCACAGTCCCCAGGTATCCTAATGAAGGGCCCCCAGGCACGAGGTTAGGCCAGTGGAGAAGTGATGAGAATTGAGCCTCCTGTCATGTGGCGTTTAGCCACATGGTCATTCTTTCCTTCAGCCTTTGCTGATGTAAATCTGCCAGGCCTGTGCTTGGCACAGCTCCAAGGAAGGAATCATTATCCTGATTTCAGTGATGAGGAAACTAGACTCAGAGAGAAAGTGACTTACCCAAAGCCAAGTGGCTAACACAGGGGAGAGCCAAAAGCAAAATTAAAAGGTCTTGCTCCTTAAGCCGAAGCTCTTCCACATTTCATCACCACCTGGACCACCCTCCTCCAGCAAAGTCTCCCTGCAAGCATCAGACACCAGCATCTCTCCTTTGGACATGACTGACAGCTCTAGGTACCTGCTTTGTCCAGGCAGGAGACAAACTCTAGGAGGCACACCCACTAGCTGCAGAAAGAAATACTTGATTAACACAGCTGCTGGGCCACAGGGCTGCAGTTAAGGCGCTGTAGCTACCCCGTGATGGAGACTATCTGCCAAGGGTAAGGTCATTTTTGAATGGGGGCAGTCCAGCTGGTCTTGAGGAGGAACAGGTGTTGGGTTGGCAGAACGGGTTAAAAAGGAGTTTAGGCCAGGAAAGTGGGCAATGTGAGCAAGGCTGGGAAGTGGAGTGTCATCTTGCAAGCCAGATACTCCCAGGCAAATATCTTTCCCTATCTCTCTCTGTTTCCTCCTGTGTTACTATGAAGGTTCAAACTATATCCTTGGAAAGGTATCTCTAGAAGTAAAATGGGTCATGGAGACAGAGACCTTGTAAACAAAATTTCTCTCTAGTTTTACAGCCCCAGGCTCTCCCAGGGACAGGCATGAGTCGCAAGTGCTAAGCAGATAGTCTGGCCTGCTCTGGTCATCCAAGGGAAGTTTCTCTCAATACCTGAGGCTGCCTGAGGCTCTCCAAAGTCCACAGTCACATCCTGCCTAAGCACCCAGCCAGGGGAGGAGGAATCCGGGAGGGATCAGGGTTTCATAAACAGGAAGAGAGGAGGGGAGGGGGCAGATGCTCAGCTCTCAAAATAGACCTGCAGGCACTTCAAAGGGGTCCAGCTCCGGAGATGGCCAGAGGAGGGGGCCTGGGTTGCCCAGTCCACTTCCAGGAGGGGAGGAAGGGTAAGTGGAGCCCTGATATGCCTGGAGACACCAAATGCATCCAGATGCTGAAGGCGCCTAAAAAGTTCTTGCCCCACACCATTGCTGCTAAAACCCTAACTGTACCTGTAATGAATAAAATAAGCCAGCTTAGATAGCAACGCTGTGCCATGTACCTTCCTGGATACTTTAATTTATACATATCACATTTTCTTTTCCAGGCGGCTCTAAAAGATAGGCTCTTTTGCTTTTTTAGGTAGGCTCTATTCTGTCCCAGGTTAGAAGGGCAGTACTTGGAACTCAGAATGACTGGCTCCCAAGTTTCCTCTCCTGTCTCTTCTCTACCTGGAAGGCCCACCTCTATCTCCTGCTGCCCCAAAGCCCAGTCAAATGCTAGTTCTGCAGAAAAGATGGCCAGGTTTTGTCTTACTTTGTTCTGTGATGGGGTTTCATATAGCCCAGGCTAGTCCCAGAGCCCACCCACACCTCCTTCCTCCATCATACACAGCAATAAGCTGCCTGATCCTTAGCCCCTAGCTCAGATGACACTGACTGAGGCTGGAATGTGATCATCGCAGTCAGCTTTCTACTGAGAGGAATGTGGAGGCCCAGGTCATGTTATATGAAGGTTTCATGTGCCCATAACCATGTTAGGTCTCCATCCTAGCACCTACTACACAGCTTCCCTGTTTCCATGCTTTCTCTAAATCTGGGTGCTGCTCCCTAAGGCTGGAGGATGTCCAGTACATTTTGGATACATTGAAAGTGTGAGGAAGGAGGGGCTGGAGAGATGGCTCAGCAGTTGAGAACACTGGTTGTTCTTGCAGAAGATGCGGGTTCGAATCCCAGCACCCACATGGCAGCTAACAACTGTCTGTAACTCCAGTCCCAGGGGATCCAACAGCCTCTTCTGTCCTCCGCGGGCATTGCACAACACAGGTGCACTCACCTACACACAGGCAATACATGCAGGCAATACACGCATACACGTAAAATAAAAATAAATAAAATTAAAAAAAAAAAGTGAGGAAAGATAATCTGCCAGCTTGTTCTGCTGCAATGAGGTTCTGACCACAGGTTGAGCGCCCCCTAGTGTACTAAGCCCAGAAGTGGGCACTGAGGATACCATGAGCAGGGGCCCAGGCTCTTCCTCTTCAGCACTCTAGATCCCCAGCCAGGGAGGAATGTGGCTCTGGTCAGACTTGACCCCCACCAGTTATGTGATGTCAGGCTTCAATTTTCTCGTCTGGAAAATGTTGCTAGTAGCGATCTCTACCTCTGAGGACATAGTGAGATGTGGTTGCCAGGCATGGGTTCAGCTTTCTCTGCTTTCATGTGGACTTGAAACTCACTGTTCCACCATCTTCAGCCTTCATTCCCTTCCTACCCCCAGGATCTTCTGCCCCAGTGCAGGAGCCATAAGGCTGTGAAGTCAACGGAGGTTCCCTGCCTGGGTGAGTCCCTGCCCTCTCCCTAGTTCACCTTTCTTTTTGTTTTGTCTTACTTTGTTTGGTGATGGCGTCTCCTATAGCCCAGGCCAGTCTTAAACTTACTATGTAGCTGAGGATGATCCTGAACTCCTGATCCTCTTGCCTCTACCTCATAAGTGCTGGGATTATTAGCCTATACTACTATGCCCAGCCCCCCTAGGTCCCTTGAGATGACAAGCTAAACTTACTACCAGTTCCCCAAAACTTCTACTCTGTGACCCCACCTCAGAGACCTTCAAACTTAAGATCTGAACAGGCGGTTGCCCATTTTTATCCTCAGTCCCCTCATTTTTACTAGTATGAAACTAGGGGCAGCTACTTTGTGGGATGAGGCTCCAGACGTGGACAGAGAAAAACCAGGGATCCAGGCCACATGGCTTATTGGTGGCTCTGTTGCCACAGTGACCAACAGCAAGAGGAGGTGGGAGCCTACTTCTCACACTGCTACCTGGCCCCACCCAGCTAGGCTACCTTATCTTGGAAAGCTAAGTCAATGTAAATATCAGGACCAACCCTGACTCCAGCTCAAAGATCAAGCTTACAGCAGGTCTGCTGCTGGGTAGACCTTGACCTAGAAGGTGAGGCCATGGGTAGGAAGCAGAACTAAGTGACGTACCAGGGTAGGTCATGCTGCTGGTGCTGGTGTGTGCCAGGCAGTTGCTACCTCCTTTGTCCTCACATCACTCCTGAGGGAAAGGCATTCTTCCCCAACTTACAGATGAGGACACGGAGGCTCAAATGAAGAGAAGAGCTTCTGGCGGGGGTGGAGTGGGACTGGAGGTTTGCCTGAAGACAGACCCTGTGCAGAAGGCTTCCAAAGTCCCTCTACACCCACAATCTCTGTGACCTCACAGCTATCTATGACTTGAGTATGGTCTTTCCCACTGCAGAGATGAGAAAGCCCTGGCCCAGAGGGAACACAGAACCCACCCAAGGTCACAAAACTGTCACTTAGCCTCTGGAACTTTTGATTATGCATAAAACCAGCAAGGATGGGTGTGTGTGTGCGAGATAGTTCAGAGGGCAAAAAGCACCTGCTGCCAAGCCTCACAAGCTGAGTTTGATCCCTAGACTCCACCCGGTGGAAGGAGAGACTCGACTCCAGCAAGGTATCCTCTGACTACATGTGTGCAGTAGCATATACACATCTGCATGCCCTTAGCGCGGGCACACGCACACACACACACACACACACACACACACAGAATAGATACATAAGAGTGTAATAAAAACTGTTTTAAAAAAGCAAGGGGTAGCTGGGCATGGTGGCTCACGCCTGTAGTCCCAGCACTTGGGAGGCAAAGGCACGAGGATCTCTGTGAGTTCAAGGCCAGCCTGATCTACATATAGTGAGTTCCAGGCCAGCTGGGGCTGCAGGCTGACTTAAAAAGACCGAAAAAAAAAAAAAAAAAAAAAAAAAGCCAGGGGTAAGAAACTCATAGGCTACAAAAAAGCGCCCTGGGAAGCACATAGCTAAGATGAAGGAATATTTCTCAGTTTGGGAGACAAGATCTCCCAGAAGCCACCTGGCAGGCACTAGGCCTGGTTAGGACAGAAAAGCCACCAGGTTCCCAGTATCACCATTCCAGACCCTTGTCAAACCCAGTCCCGCCAAGGAGATAGCATAGTGCCTGAGTCCCATCATTCTTTAGCCACTCTGCTTGGAGCAGCCCAAACACAAGTAAATAAACCCAGGAAGTAAAGCAGCCTAGGTGACAGATAGCCAAAGTTCATGGATCCTGTACCTACTCCTCTCCTCCCCTTTCTAGGCTAGCCTTGTCCCTTTGATAGGAAGGCTAAAACAAGTGGCCTCTGCCCAGAGCATAGAGATAGGATCCAAGCAAGGATGAGCAGGCCAGGGCCCTCATGTCCAGGTATGGCAAGGGCAGGCCTCTCTCCTCCATTACCATGACCTCATCGCAGTTCCAAGTCCAGGGTACCAGCCTTGGTCCTCACCTTGGATGGCTGAAGTCCAGCTTCTTCCACTGAAGCCTGTCCATTCTGAAACAGAGAAACAAATTGGGGAGCATTGTCACAACTTAGCTGTATGGAGAGACGTACTCTGGAATACCCACCTCACCCTTGACTGCTCCCAATAGCCAGGGAGGCCACAAAATGGGGTCAGTTCTACATGGGTCTCCTCCACTTTTGCTTCACTGTAAAGATGCAAGAATCAAATCTTCTGGCAATACCCCCTCCCAACCCAGGTAGAATATTCCTGGGCCCAGAATTCCCATCCCCCTCTGCCTATCAAACACTCTATCATCAAAGTCTCAGCTCAAATATCATCTCCTCCTAGGGAGAAGGAAGGAGCCCATATGGCTACAGCTCTGCCAAGACAGATCATGCAACCTTTTACAAACTGAACAACTATGAGAGGCCTCAGTTTCCCAATCTGGAACATGGAAGAAAGGCCAAATAGGGGTGAGTACCAAAGCTGGAGATGGTGAATGCTCTGGTTTTGGCCTACTTTAGGAACATCACCCCCCAGCAGGTAGAGTGACAGATGCACCCAGAATACCCTTGCATCCCACCACTGTGTCATTGGTCACATACAGGCATGCCCTTTCCAATAAACAAGAAGTTCCAGGAAGTGAGGGCCTGGCGCTAACAGCTGATCTGCTGCATGTCAAGGTTGGGCTCAGCACCTCATACCTGTGACACCATTTAATTCTCCTGAAGGCCTAGGGAGGTCAGTCCTGGCTCTATTGGCAGAGGAGGACACCAGGGCTGGGAGGAGACTAATGATGCTACCTAAAGTCACACAACTGAAAAGTAGGGATTCAAAATCTGGACTCAAAGCCTGGTGTCATAGCACACGCCTTTAATTCCAACACTCAGGAGGGAGAGGTTGGTGGATTTCTCTGAGTTCAAGACTAGCCTAGTCTACATAGTGAGTTCCAAGCTAGCTGGGGCTACAGGAGACCCTGTCTCAAAAAGACCACAAAAAAAAAAAAAGGGCCCCAAATGCAGAAAGTGTTCAGGAAAGGCCCCATGCAGAGTGGCTCACACCCCAATCGGGCAGCTACCAGCAGGCAGAGGCAGGTGCAGGAGTCCATCTCCAGGAAATCCTGTTCCTTCCAGATGTCACCACAGCTGGGAACTATACACCCTGGGGTGTATCATACCTGGTCTCTCTGTTCCTGTGTGCTATGAGATTAGAAATCTATCTGAGGAAGCTGTCCCCACCCCTCCTGGCATGGAGTGAGTGTGGTGAGGTACACAGGAGGTTCCCAACAGTCAGGACTTTGGAGCCAAGAGCCAGATCCATGGGCAGTCGTGGCCCTACTTGGCAGCAGCAGGCACAACTGTGGTCTCTCCACTACATAATCTCCTTGTTCCTGGAACAGCTGCCCAGGACAACCTTCTGAGCCCCTTTAACACTCCTAAGCCTCCTCAGGACCCAAGTGTCCTGCAAGTTCCTCCACAAACACACAGACACAGACACAGACACAGACAGACAGACACACACACACACTTCCATCGCTCAGCAGTCTGGAGAGAAGGGATAGGTTGGTCAGGGCCTAAGGGCAGAGCTAGACAGATACATTAGCTGAGTGAAGTTCAGTTCATGCAGCAGGCTAGACTCAATGTATGAACTGTACCATATATGATCATGAACCGCCTGTCCACCAGCCCCTGCCCCACCCAGCCCTCCTGAGCTACTCCCAAACACTCACTGTCCTCAACATCAGTATGATTATTGCACTCAACCCAGTCACTGTTCACTGAGAACCTTCTAAATACCAGTCCTCAAATTCTCTGTGACTCAGACTAAGCTAGAATCAAGTCCTAGCTCCTCGGCATGAATTAAAGGCCATTGTATCTAACTGCCCAGCACAATGGTAAAGAATGTGGGTTCTGGGGGATGAAGAAAGAGCTCAGCAGTTAAGGCACTTGCTGCTCTTCCAGAGGACCTGAGTTCAGTTCTCGGCACCCATGCTGGGTTGCTGGGTTGTCTCATAACCACCTATAACTCTGGTTCCAGGGCATCTGATGTCCTCTTTTGGCCTCCATAAGGCTGCATACATGTATATGTACACATGCATGCACACACGCACACACATACACACACTCACATAGATTTTTTTTTTTTTTTTTTTTTTTGGTCTTTTTGAGACAGGGTCTCCCTGTAGTACCAGCTGACCTGGAATGCGCTATGTAGACCAGGCTGGTCTCGATCTCACAGAGATCCACCTGCCTCTGCTATAAATATTTTTAAACATTAAAAAAAAAAAATTTAATTTTCAATAAAAAAAAAAAAAAAAAAAACGGTTCTGGAACCTTCTAGCTTCTATCCCTGCATAAGCCAAGAAGGTCATTTTACTTCTCAGGTGTAAAAATGAGGCAGCTTCTAAAGCCAATGAAATCATATCCATAAATATACATACCTGGCGTATGATTGGCCCTCAAACAATAGCCATTGTTATTGTTGGGCTTTAATTTTTCCAGTTCCTGTCTCTTTATTAACTCACACACAATTATTTTGTCTTCTGTTTTGGTGAAACAGTAAGTCAGACAACAGCTGGCACAATAATGTCTGTTAAGTGGCTGTCCATGCCAGCATCATTCATCTGAGGTGCAGCCTTGACAAAGGCAACTAATTTGCCATTTTCATCCACCTTACAGCATTTCAAGACAGACAACATAATCTTTTTCGGGCTTAAAAATATGGAAAATTAGCCAGGTGTGATGGTGCATGCCTTCAGTCCCAGCATTTGGGAGGTAGAGGGAGGTTGATCTCTGTGAGTTTGAGGCCAGCCTGGTCTACATAGTGAGTTCCAGGACAGCCAGGCCTACAGGGAGACCCTGTCTTTTAAAAAAAAAAACAAAAAACAAGGGGCTGGAGAGATAGATGGCTCAACAGTTAAAAGCACTGGCTGCTCTTCTAAAAGACCTGAGTTGGGTTCCCAGCATCCCATGGCAGTCCCAACCTTTTGTAACTCCAGTTCCAGGGGATCCAATGCCCTCTTCTGTCCTCTGTGAGCATTGCACAACACAGGTGCACTTACATACATGCAGGCAAATCATTCATACACATAAAATAAAAAAGTAAACAAATAAACAACGAAATATATGTTTGAGGCTAGTCTGGTCTAGTGTGAGTTCCAGGCCTGCCAGAGCTATACAGAGTGAGGCCCTGTCTCAAAAAACAAACAAACAAAAAGGAATGTTGGGCTGCAAGATGGCTCAGTGGTTTAAGGCTTGCCAAATCTGATGACCTGAGTGTTCATTCCCTGGGACCCACGTAAAGGTAGAAGGAGAGAACTGATTCACAAGTACCTATGTGTATACACCATGTACACAAACACACAATAACAATTTTTTTTAACTTTAAAAAAAATTTTATTTATTATTTTTATGTGTATGTGTGTACTGCCTGCATGTAGGTAAGTACACCCGTGTCCTACAATGCCCACAGAGGTCAGAAGAGGCTGTTGGAACCCCTAGGACTGGAGTTACAGACAGTTGTTAGGTGCCATGTGGGTGCTGGGATTCAAACCCGGGTCTTCTGCAAGAAGATTAGTGTTCTTAACTGCTGAGCCATCTCTCCAGCCCCTCAACAAATAATTTTTTTTTAATTTTTTTTTATTTTACTTTTTTTTTTTGGTCTTTTTGAAACAGCGCCAGCTGGCCTGGAACTCACTATGTAGACCAGGCTAGCCTTGAACTCACAGAGATCCTCCTGCTCTGCCTCCCAAGTACTGGGATTACAGACGTGCACCACCCAGCTAGCAAATAATTTTTTATAGAAGGGGTCTCACTATGTAGCCTTAGCTGGTCTGGAACTCACTATGTAGAGCAGGCTGTCCTTGAATTCACAGAGCTCTACCTGTCTTCCAAGTGCTGTGGTTAAAGACATGTGCTACCATACCACCCAGCAATAAAAAAATGTTTTAAGATGGAATGCTTCACGAATTTGTGTGTCCTCTTTGCACAGAGGACGTGCTAGCTAATCTCTGTACGGTTCCAATTTTAGTGTATGTGCAGCCGAAGTGAGCACTTTGGGGCTCTATTTTTGGGCTAAACTGAATGACCTGAGTTCCTGAATAGACCTGTTTCATATCCCCAAGTGTTTGCGTGGTGATTTACCCTACCAAGAAAACCCTTCTTGCCTTGTAACACAAACCACTTCTGCTCTTCTTCTGGGGCTGAATTCAAATGCTGCTGTCTCTGTCCACACAGCCTCTAATTCTTTCCTCCTTCCTCTCACTCCCAGACTGAGCACAGGGAAGGTTAACTCAGCAGGGGACAGGATTTGTCCATCATCAGCTCCTTGGCACTGAGCCAGGGTCCACCATCTAGTTTGTCAAATGAAAGGTCAACCCCGCAAAGACAAGGAGAGCAGAGCAGGTTCTCATTACTCCTATTTCTCAGCTGAAGCTCGGTGGTCAGGGACTCTCCATAGCTAGCCGGTGGCAGCCATGGGACCATAATCCCAAATCATGTGGCTGCAAGCCTAGATCCCTGGTGAAGAGGAGGAAGAAGGCATAAAAAGAGGTGTCAGTTTCTTGAGCAGCTGCCTGGATAATTCAGGGGAAAGAAAACCCTTCTTGCCTTGTAACACAAACCACTTCTGCTCTTCTTCTGGGGCTGAATTCAAATGCTGCTGTCTCTGTCCACACAGCCTCTAATTCTTTCCTCCTTCCTCTCACTCCCAGACTGAGCACAGGGAAGGTTAACTCAGCAGGGGACAGGATTTGTCCATCATCAGCTCCTTGGCACTGAGCCAGGGTCCACCATCTAGTTTGTCAAATGAAAGGTCAACCCCGCAAAGACAAGGAGAGCAGAGCAGGTTCTCATTACTCCTATTTCTCAGCTGAAGCTCGGTGGTCAGGGACTCTCCATAGCTAGCCGGTGGCAGCCATGGGACCATAATCCCAAATCATGTGGCTGCAAGCCTAGATCCCTGGTGAAGAGGAGGAAGAAGGCATAAAAAGAGGTGTCAGTTTCTTGAGCAGCTGCCTGGATAATTCAGGGGACCCCCCCCCCATCAGGCTTTATTTGGCTGGATCTCTATAATCTAGGTACTACCTGCAGGAACCCCATGCCTCTAGGAGCTAATGCACAAGGTCTCTAGGGACGAAGTGGGTGGTCCTGGAGAAAGGACTGGGAGGGGCACAGAGGAAGGCAGGGATCATCTGCCCTCTGGTCTGTCATGAGGGACAGTAGAGTGAACACAGCTATGGAACCACAAAGTCAAGGCTATTAGTCTTGGTTCTCGTTTTAACACTGTGTCTGTCACCTCACTTTTCAGAGCTTCTGTTTCCTCCATTGTACTACAAGAGTAGATCTATCTTGTGGGCAGATGCACTCTATGGCTTAGACTAGAACTTTTGAATGAATGAATGAATGAATGAACGAATGAACGGATGGAGGCAATGATGCTAACGTTGTAGAATACTGAATGAAGTCCTTGTTTAAAAAGCCTACGGCTGGAGGTTTGCCTAACATGAGCAGGGCCCTGGGTTCAATCCCCAACATGGCAAAAAAAAAAACAAAAACAAAGGGAGAAGGACAAGACCCTGGGATGAGACCAAAAAGGCTGGGACAGGAAATGCCCTCCGGCCTCTTAGGGGATGGGGACAGCACTGATCCTAAGGATGGATAACTGCCCAGGACCCCCAGAACGCTGTACCCCTTCTAGTGGTCAGAGAAGGGTTCTAGCAGGCATGCTTTCTTCCTACCTAAGCACTGGTCTTGGAAAGTGGGGCCCAGGACAGCTTCTAGAGAAGCTAGGAGCAGAGCAGATGGAGAAAGGCAGCATGTGCCTGCTTCACAGGCAGGAAGCAGCCCCAGGAACTGGGTTCTGAGCCCAGCACTGGCAGCCCTGTGCACTGCTGATGCCTGGGGGCCAGGTGCCAGGATGGACATCGCCAGCCCTCAGCAAAGGCTGGACAAGGTCCCTGCGGACTGAGGAATGTGTGCCAACATCCGGAGTCATTCTCGGAGCACCTTCCACTGGGGCCCGGTTGCTCATCTTCAGGTCTCCCCTGCTTGATGGGAAAGAGCAAGAACTCTGGGCTCCAGACCTGACTTGGATGTTGGACATGCCCACACTCCTGAGTTCAGTTGTCCCATCTGAAAATGGGGTTAAAGTCTCTATCTTGAGATGTTGAGAATAAGGTGACATTTGAGGACAGCAGATGGTAAGGCACTGTGGCAGGACAGGGCCTGTGGACAAGGCTCTATTGCTTGCAGTAGGGCCAGGAAAGGCTCAGGCAGCATCATACTTCCAAGTGGTTTACTCCACCTGGGCCACACCTTAGGCCAGGCCCTGCCTCCCAACAGCCCATTTTTGGTAACATCAATGGGAAGACAAAGCAATACAGATCCTAAACCTCTGCCAGTCCCCTCACCTGCCTCCTTCCTGGCCAGGAGCTGCCAGTGGCAATGGCGCCAGTACCTGCAGGTCAGACAGCTGTATCACTTACATGTCACCTGGACTAAGGAACAGCGAGGCCCTGTTCTCCAGTGAGAGAGGCCCAACTCTCAGCCTGACTGCCCCCGTGACTCCTGTTACCCAAACAATGACACCCAGTTGATTGACACCTCCATGGCCTGGGGGAGGGGACCTAGGAGCAGTACCCAGGGTTCTGCACCTTCTCAAGCCCAGGAATCAGAGCTAGAATCTCATTCGTGTCCATGGAGAAACAGAGGCCCAGACAGGCTGAAGATGGATGGACCCAGGTAACACAGCATTTCTGAGGTGAAGCTGCTTGAGAAATCTTCCCCCCACCACAGGAAACACCAGTCGCCTCTCCCAGAATTCAGGTGCAGCGGTACTCAAACTGAGATGAGTTTCCGGTTTAACCTGGCTCCTGGTGAGGCTGGCCCTGGGCTCAGGATTTCCCAAAAGGAAGCAGGAAGTGCTGCCCTGGAGGAGGCCAGAATTCATCTCATCGGTTGGGTGCCTTCACTCTCTGCTAGTGCAACACAGCAAAGCTCTGGGCTAAGTTGCTCCCCAGCCATGCTCAGCTCAGCTCTACCTTCTCCAAAGACCTAGGTGGCAGGGGCATGCCTGGGCAAAGGAATATACCTCTGAGCCTTCCCTCAGGCTTTGTGCCCCAGTCCTGAGGTGGGGGAGGGCAACAGGGGCTGCAGAGGGCAGTGTTCCTCACCTAGGATGGTGAGTCAGCAAGAGAACCTCTGAGGGGTGGTGTAGGGACTGTAAAAACCCCATGGCAGGGATCCCAGAGCAATTTACTCCAAATTGCGCCTTCAGGTTGGTTACCTAATCCTGCCGCGCCCACCCTCCAATAGCCAGTGTAGGCCATCCCTTTAAAGGAGCAGCACACCAGATCTGAGTGCTTGGAGACATGGGGTCCTCACCCTGCTCTCCACCTGTGGTCCTGTGAGGCAGAGCATGTGGTGACTACCTTAGATGAAAAGATGGAGGTGAGGGCTCAGGCATAGACAAAGGGGCTTAAACCAGGAGGAAAACCAACTAGGCTCTGGGTCAAGTGAGGTTTCCTCCCTGTCTTCTGTACCCCCTAACAGCTTCCCTTAAAAGCAGAGTTTCACCTTCTCCTTGAGGCCAGGGTGAAAGTTTTAAACTTGATGGTTCAGGGCTTGACCTTGACCCTAGGGTCACAGGGCACCTCCTACCGGTGCTCAGAGTTGGCACCACAGAGCCCTGGAAGGCCTCTAGGAGAAAATAGGAGGCAGAAGCCACTCTCCCCAAGGGCCCAGGCCTTTCTATGGGAGAGAACACCGGGAAGGAGGAAGACATGGGGACTCTCCTTCAGAGTTCATCTTTAAAGGTCTGAGGGCTTTCCCCCATCTACAACGCAACCTGAAGCAGAAGACCACTGGTGTCATCTGACCCTAGCTTTAGGGCAAAGGAAACCAGATTCCCGCTTTGCAGAGATGGTGTCAACCCACATTCCATAACTGCCAGGGGTCCAGAAAAGTCAGAAGTGGAAAAAGAGGAGAGTTCTTGGGAGACGGCAATCGGAGAGGTGGGGTTCCCATGATCCCTATCTCTAACAGAACCTCAGACATCTGACCCAAGCCCTGGCCCTCTGCACTGCTGTGGGGGGACGACTCCGACAGCTCCCCAAAGATGCTAGGCTGGACTGGGACTAGGGTGTGAAGGGTGTCGGATCTCAGCACCCCGTGAGGTCCCCTCTCCTGGTCACTGCAGGGAGGTACTCGCGCCAGGCTGCAGCGTGCCCTGCACACGCACACTCAGAGCACAGGGGGGTGGAGCCGAATAGTGGGCAAGAGATCGGAGGGCACTGGCCTCCTCGCGGGGGCCCGCCGGGCTGCAGCGACGCCGCGGGCCACCCCGCCCCGGTGCGGACCCGCGCTGGCCGGCCGCCCACACCCGTCCCCC